CTGTTGTTATTACTATTATTATTATTACTACCACTACTGCTACTACTGCTATTACTGCTACTACTACTACTATTGCTATTAATTATTATTACTATTACTATTATTATTACTAATAGTGCTATTATTATCAAACATAACACTCATCTAACGATATCGGATGTGTCATCTTTCTGTTCCATACCATTTTAGAGAACGAGAGGACAATGATGTCGCTCTCAGGTTTTTTTTTTAAATTGCGGGACAAAGAAAAAGTAAGGTATTGCATAGAATTATTTCCAACTGAAATATCAAGCATACAGAAACACACACACACACACACACACACACACACACACACACACACACACACACACACACACACATACATACACACGTATACAAATCAGTTTTCTTTTGATTATTTCATAAATTTTTTCAACTATTGTCAACATTCATCATACTGTGATATGTATGCACACATATGCATGCATATGTGTGCATACATAAACACAGTAACAAAATGCAAATAATATCACCGCTCCCGTTAACATTCCATGTCCATCTGTCACACATAAACGTGTTATCATCTTTACATAACTGAGAATTCCCAATGCTAATTAGCTAGGTATTTGTCGCAAGGAATTTTATAATTATATTTCAAATTTTACAATTTCACTTAGAATAAGAAATGAGAAAATCAGCTGGTCGAATTTTTTTCACTTGTAGTAATATCATCATTAACATTTTGAAATTGAGGACTATATTTTTTACCACGAAATACTATAACAGTCAGCGCTAATCTCTAACAAAGAGAATGAAGATATATTAGCCAGCTTCTTAACTTAATTAAACAATAATTTCTACTTGTCATATAAGCTAAAACAATTGAGATGCTATTCTTTAATTGTATTTATTATTAGAGTTCCAAACTTCCTAGAACTTCTAGATCGATTTACAATAATTTATCACCAAATTTCAAACTATGACAAAAAAATATGAAAATATGAGTTTTCATGTAAAACAGTAATTTAGATTTTTTTTTTTTTGGCATATCCTAAAACATTTTCTATTGAATATAATCATATATTTTTCCCTTTCAAAATTTCATTCCAAATTAATTTGCCTGAACAAACGAAATACCAAAATGACCAAAAAAAGTCATTGAGTATAAACAGATGTTTATACTCAATGACTTTTTTTGGTCATTTTGATATTTCGTCATTCCAATAAGTTTTTCAAAATATAATATTGGAAATTTCCATTTTTAATTTATTGGAACATATGTATCGAATATGATATTATCATGGAGTGGTGAAATGATTAAAAGTTTCTAAGTTGCTGAATATATATCATCCTGAGAATGTACGAGAAATCAAATAATACGTAGTGAGTCATCACTTCGTGAATGAGATTTTATGTCTAAATTTGCAAGAATTCATCGCGAATATAATAAGAAGAAATTAACAGAAATGATTCTTTCATTATGCAATTCATTAAACTGCGCAAAAATACATCTAAATTTCAAATAGAAAACATCTATTCTTTTTCCACTAAGCAAAAGTATAAATATATTTTATAGAAAATGAGCCATCTTAGAAAAACCTGTATTTTTTGATGAGAAATTTTCGAACCATAAAAAGAATTGAAAACAAAAGATAAAAAAGACTTGTTTTAAATCACATTCATCATGAAAACGCTAAAAGTCATTTGCGTCAAAATACATTATCAATCCTTCTTCTGTCACTTTCTCAAATATAAAACTAATAGAGTATTGGAATCGAAATCAGAATTTAGAATCGAATATTAGTGGAGCAGATACGCAGAGTTAGGCCTGGTATAGCTACAGCAAGTCTGTATTTCGTTTGAGGAACAGAATTCCGGAATAGAGAGTATGACAAAAGCAATGGTGCGATGCAGAAAAAGCTAAATTTAGAAGAAATAAGTAAAAAAGAAAGAACGTACCCGATGACCAAAAACGCTTAAATTCGCAGATTCGGTCTTCCCTTTTTTGCACTTTTTTGAATCTTCTATTTTCTCGAATGAATCATCTGAATCCTTAATGATTTCATCTATCATACTCAATGAATCCGGTGTTACTACTTGCAAGGTTTCCGAAATGGTATCAGAATTTATGTTTTCCGTAATTGTAGTATTAAGGGAATTTCGTGATGAGCCATAAATTGTGTCCGTTGCCGTGTCTTCCAGGACTGACGAGATAACATTAGCTTCAGAATGAGGAATCGTAACTTTCGCAGTGGATTCTGAAGAAATTTCGGGAACCTCCAATGATTCCGTAGATGTTAACGAAGTTTTACTAGAGTGAAATGAAGACATCTGCTTCAAATCTGACGACAAATTCATTGGCTGTCCAGTTGACATAGGAATTTCGGAGCGTTTTTTACTGAATCCTGTATGCTTCCAGAAACCGATTATAGCTTCGTAGAATTTATTTTTTAATTGTACTTCACCACTATTTAATTCTTCAGAATCTTTCAATAGTTCTCTGCTATAGGTAATTTTGGCTTCATTTGCTGCTGGCAAATTTTTTACAGTTTGATGAGACTCCTTCACTGAATCATTTTGCCATGTAATTGTTACTGATTCACTGCTATTGATTCGCTCACTGTTATCTTTTGGAATTTCCGGAGAATTTCGCTCTTGGATGACATCACTAGCAAGTATCTCACTGGTTATTTCATTTTGGAAGACAGGATCTTCTGCTAATCTTATCGCTTCATCCAAAATAAGCGGTTTAACATTCTCTTGCAGCAATTCAGTAATAGATGTACAGGATTCTGATAGATTCACCATATCTGCAAACGTCTCAAATTCTTTCTTTCCAGATTCCTCTATGTTTCCATTCTCTTCTTTGACTTCTTCTGATTCAGATTGCTCAGTTTTTTCCGTAACAATGCTGTTTCCCGTATCAACAACGTCCTGACTGCCAATAGTAAAATCATTCACTTCAATATTGGCTTCAGTTTTTGTAGTATTTACAACAATATCTGTTTTCGAGTGCTGAATGTTTACGTTGTTTATTTGTTTGAAAACTTTTTCGATTACGTTAGCTTCTGTTTTATTATCAATGGGATCCAAATTTCCATCCTTTTCTGCTAATTCTTCCTCCGGATTGTCGGAATTTCGATCGGCTAAAAAATCCAACTCCGGTGTTTCTGCATGCAGTATTTCTGAAATTTGTGTTCCCGAAACTTTTGTGTTACGTATATTTTCCACATTATGTGTTTTTAGAGTGTAGTGATTAGTTGCTTGTAAATCATCAATAATTAGCGATTCTGCTAGATTTGACATAGATTCATCATGAACATTCAATGAATTATTACTTTCCTCAATATTTATTGTTTCAGTTTCCGGTCGATCCACAATTTCAGGAGTTTTAATATTTTCTGCTTCATCATACATTTCGATTAAATTTGATTTAGAATTACTTTCAGTCACATTCCTCTCTTGAGAAATTTCTTCAATCATCCTGTCGTTTTCCACTAAATCTTTTCTTCCATGTGGAAAATTTCCTGTATTGTGTTCATCTGACAAAATGGCAACACAATTAGAAAATGATGAACAAGAATATTGTTCTTCGTGATGCAACTTTGCTTCCTCAATTCCCTGTAGACGTATTTGATCATCATTATCAGTATAATTGTTTGTTAACATCGAATGCAAAAGATCAGCTTCGTTCGATAATCTAGTTGCATCATTGAATTCATTATCATTTTGTTTAGCTGCTGCTTCGAGAATTTCTTTTGTTACGTTTTGGCCATCTTGAACAGCTGTTCCACAGTTTTCCTCCCATTTCAATTCTTCTTTTTCTTTTTCAACATTTGAAACACACTTTTTCTTTCTGCTTCTTCCTGTTTTTTTCTTTTCCATAAGTCTGAGTATGCAAATCAAAATCGATGAGTCGTGTATTCTTTGATTTGTATTTCCATTTCAGAAATTTATGACACTCATATTAGCTGCATATTTCGCAATTCGAGAGTTTTAAAAAGATGTTGCAAGAGTTTGAAAATTGAAATGATATCCGCGGTAATATGAAAATGAATCTAAAATTGATAACTGTTTATTAATTAACAAATGAAATAGAGTAATGAATTCAAAATTTATCACTACTATATAATGTTATCATCGATTATGCACAAAAATAACCATATAACGGAAAATCCAAAATAATTTTACAATATAAATGAAATGAAATAATCAACGTAACTTTATATTATAGAAATCTGTACTGTATAAAGACTGCTCATCAATAGTTAAATCGTTTCAAACTGTTAAGCTGATCTTTTGTTCACTTAATTCAAAAAAAAAAACTACACCATGTCGCGATTCAATATCATCAGTATTAATGTTACTATTGTGATTAGTATCACTAGAATTTGATCAATATCACAATCTGTGTCAATATTACGAACCAGTACTACTACCAGGATTGCTGTCAATTAGTGAAACTGACTCTATCCATGATATTCTCTAACAATTATCTTATAATACTTGTAAAAGAACAATAAATATTCCATCAATAAATCGAATCTTTTATACTTCTCGACAAGAAAAATTTTCACTACATCAGTAATCTTAAAAAATCACTCAATCTGATAGCATAGCATAGTATAGTATAATTTAATATTCTAAACAAAAAAAAAAATGTAATGAATCGATTAGAAGACATGATATGAAGAAAATTTGTGAGAGAAATGACGAAAGAGAGAGACATTTGTGGAGAAAGTGAATCAATGAAATTTATCATTGCCTTTACAATGAGCACATTGAAATGTTTACAGTGAAATGAAATATTAACAGATGAAAAAGTGGTTTGTTCATGACAGATAGTATTGAGAAGAAAGAGGGAAAGTTAGGATGGATGGAATAATCATCAAAGTGTAATTCATTCATTCATTCATTCATCCATCCCTATTTGATAATGATGATGCGGTAAATCTCTGCACCGTACACCGTACAATTCACATTTCTAATTTTAAGAGAAAGATTGAATTGAAATGATGAGGAGCTTTCTTTCTTTCATTTCAGGTCATCATCTATAAATGAATGAAAAAGATAGCATTGCTGTTGTATGAAATCAAAGATAATAAATTAATGTAAACCTCTTTCGAAGGATTCATTATGATACAGAAGGAAAAAAAAAATGACAAAGAATTTAAGCAAACTGTTTCCCAGAAAGGATGAATTGAATGTGACATTGTGATGGATGATTGATTCTTTGCTGAACGGGAAAGAATTGAGATGAAAGACGGGAACTGAGAGAGAGAGAGAGAGAGAGAGAGACAGGAAGAGAAATTGATAGATATATGATATATTAATGAAGTGAAATAGGCTAAGTGTAAGCGAAGAGAAGAAAGTTAGGAAAAGAGAGAAATGAAAGAATGATTTCAGGTCGAAGAATTATTGGTAATGTTCGTGCAGGATGAGTGAAACATAAATAAAATGGTCATTAAACATTTAAGTTGATGGAAGTATTTCTCGGTATGAAAACATATTACATGGCTTAAATTTCTTAGAAAACCGAAAGTGGCTTACTTTTTGAAATTTCAAAGCTTATGAGCAAAGTTTTAAGCCGATACTTAGCTTTTTTTTTTTTTTGATATTGGTAGCGGTAGGTATTATCAAAAATGTGCTTATAACTTTTGTTATACCTTTCGTGACATAATTGAACCTGGTGTAGGTCTTTTGAGAAAAAAAATTCACAATTTCATCCATTTAATGAAATGCTTTGGCAAATAATCAAGGCTAAAATGTAAATAATCCGAAATAAATGATTATTGATGATAAGCTTTATCAAACTTCTTGAAAATTGAAAATGGAAAAGTGAAAATGTTAACTGGATACCAGTATTCGATAGCATTTCACATTTCTTTTTTTGTTTGTAAAATTAAATTTGGGAATGAATATTTGGGCTTTTTGGATGGATAATTTTGTTAAAATTGACCATTTTCTTTGCATTTATCGCACTAAACTAAGCTAAAAATGAAATAAAGTTGAAATTTATTGATAATTATGGAAAAGTACAACCAATGGAAGGAAGAGATTAAGTACTTTTATTTTCAATTTCTTCGTGGAGAATTCAAAAAAATGTGGAAAGACCATACTGAAATGCAATTCATCTTTGTTTTTGAAAACTTAAAATTTAAAATACATTTGTGTTATACAACGGATTTTGCAAAATTATAATTTTATTACTGTATTATTACTGTATTGTCAGAGTTTGCTGGATGCAAAAATTTATGTTTATCTGAATATTTTAAGCGAATTTAAAAAGAAGTGTTTCTGTTTTCAAACTTGAAATCATTTCAAGATTTTTGACACTTTAAAATTAAAAATTGAAAGAAAATATGTGCACTTTTGGAAAAGTAAAATATATGTGAATAGCAAATTTAAGAGCTGTTTACTTATAAATAGAGAGAACGATCCCATAAATCAAGCTTCCATCTATAAAATCACACATTCCTAGAAAAATTTTTTGTTTAAAAAGCGTTTTAATGATTTAATAAATTCTTTTGTAGAGAAAAAATAATATTTTAAAATTCAAATCGTAAACTAAACTTTGAATCATACGGAGAGTGAAACTTTAGAATTTCCGATTTTTTCAAACACTCCGATTTAGCTGGACAGGAAGAAGCCGTTTTAAACAGCCCTTACAGAAATACTGAAATGCTTCATAACCAAGTAATCCAATTAATTAAAACAACTCTATTGATTGTCTAGTGGCGAATTTTTTTCTCTTTTTTTTTTAACTAACTTCAATACCGAACATAGGCGTAATGATATAGGAAAAGCATTAAATGTTTGGGATATTCAAATGATCTTATTTTAGATGATTCTAGAAATATTCTTCATTAAATGATTTTTTAATGTTTTTAAAAATATCTGCGTAGAAATACGATGAGAATAAAACATTTATTACTGTTCTTTTCAATAATTCAATAAAAACTGACATGATCTTTAGCATATTCTTGTTGGAAATTGATATGTCGTTTCGCCAACGATTACTTCGAAAATTTGATTATATCGAGCATATCGACAACATCGATTTGAAAAAAAAAAAAAATGAATAATTAAACTAACCATTCAGTTTCGATTTTTTAGGTGAACAAAAACTGGCAACGCTAAAACTTGCAATGACCAAAATTCTTAGGAAATATAATTGCAGCACTAATTTAACTGAAAATTTACTGTGCTTTCCAAAAATGGCTTTCCACAAATATTTCCTTTTATAAATTTATCCGATTCAAAATTGATGAAGTCATTTTTAAATGCCCAACAAGTGCCTGAAAAATATCATTATACCTTTATTATCTTATTAAATTACTAAATCACTAGGTTAATTTAATGGGATAATAAAGATATAATGATTTTGACATTCAAGAAAGAAACGATTATTTGCAATAGTTCAAAGCTTTCAATTATACAGAACAAAATGTCCTGCCACCAGCTAACGAAACAGATGCTGCAAGGTGGTTGGATCTCGAAATGGCCGTTGCATTTTATTGAAATTGGTGATTGTATTGATGTGGGAGTGCGATTTATCTCCGGTCATCAAGCTATTTTCGTGTTCGCGTAGACTCTTCAGAAGCACCGTTCCATTTGGAAGCGGTGATTTTCAAATTCTCTCACTTTCAAACTAAATAGAATGTAATTAAAATTGATCGAATGGTATATTAGTTTCACAGTTTCATCCTCATTTAATTAGTATTTAGAGAATTAAAATTAAACTATGAGGCAGAAAATCTATTTGGAGGAACTATGAAAGTCCACCAGTATTTTTCCAACCTTATATCTGGCCAAGATTGATTGGAAAGTGAAAATGATGAGATAGGAAGGAATTGAGTTATTAAGGATAAGTGATGAGTGTGATGAAAGATAGCAGGAAATATTCAAATTTTTGAATCGATACGCAATTAAAGTGTACAAATTTGGGAAGATGACAATGGGCTGAATAAGAAATGAATAAAATGATCAATACCATTCCATAAAATAAAGGACGTTTTTTTTTTTTGAAGTGATTATCAAATCTTTTAAGTGATTATTAGATTTTTTTTTGAAATGATTTTAATAAAAAGGATGTTTTATTTTAGTGATTATAGGAAAATTGAAAATTTTGCTACTGATTTCAGACGAACGATCTACTCTCATAGAGTAAAGAGTGTTATTCGTTATTGAAACGAAATCTTCAATTTCGTTTTATTTCAAGCAATGGGAACACTTAGTATACAACTACCAACAGGTTCAGTACGTAATCTTACCGAAGTATTCATTCTTCTTCGAAATAATGCGCTGCACAACAAGTTCATCTTTGCTAATAATACTACAATTGCAGCTGGTTGGTACCATTTTCATTTCAAAGTTGTGATCTGCGTCTTAACATTTTTGCAGAATAGTAACTGAAAAAGTTAGCAGATTGAAAGTATTGGCTTTTTTTGTTATTGAAGGTAACTAATTTAACAATCATTGTAGTTTGGAAAAAAATATTACATATTTTCGATTGCTGTAAATAATGCTTCACTACAATCGTTCTGTGAATTGTTCGTTTCTGTTCCTGCTCCTTGTTATCGTGTGACTTTAGAGAAATTTGTCACAACAGTCACTAAACATTAGAAGAGTTAGAAATTAGCAGCGGAAAGAGATTATCACCACCAAAATTATCGAACTGAAAAAAGATATTTCTATCGATATAGATAATGCAAATACAAGTACAAACTTTAAAAAGATAAAATGTTGGAAAATATTCATTCAGGAACTGTATTTTCTGTTTATGGCATTTATTTAGTCGAGCAGAAACAGTGTAATGTGGCATATATTATTTCCCCTAAGCCGTGTTAATTTGAAGCATTTCTATTTGTTCAAAAATTCTGCTTTATAGAGAAAAAAAATTGCAAATACTTCAGAGGAGAAAATGTCGTTGGTTGCTTTGGATGAACAAACCGAAACAGTTCATGTCTCGAGTTCTAGCCGTGTACCACCCGAGTGGGTCAATTATCTTGACGAAGCACAATATGAACTTACGAGGTAAGTTTGCCAAAGAAATAAATGAATTTGAAAAACAAATATCTAAAGGCAATTTTTTATTGAAATTAAAATAAAAAAGACGCTATAAGCTCCGATTTATTTGCGCATAAATTATCGCGTGAAAGCAGCAAGCGTATTGAAATTACTGCCAGATAAAAATATCACAAGAATGTGAGAAATTATTAAATTAACCTGACACGGATAGTCATAAACAAAAACTCTCTTAATATATTTATTTCTCTTTACTGCTGAACTATTTGTTGAGTAATGAAACCTTTTTTTTATTGCCTGACATGAGATGAATAGGGATGGAAAGATTTCTGCAGAATGTTCTAGATCAGATCAAACTTTTTTGAATTTATATTTTGTTTTTATTCTGCTCAATTGTGCAGAATACGATCACGTTTAAAACAAATTCGAGAAATGCAACAGAATCACATATCGAAGCCAAGTTTCGTAGAAGATTTGGAGGCTCAAAAAGAAATGGACAAAAGTACAAATGAAGTTACGGAAATGTTTTCTCATTGCCAGCGCTTGATTGGGTTCCTTTCCGCTTAATTTTTTTTATCACATTCAAAAATTTCTATGCTCATGTGCTCATATGCGCTATGTTCATTTTATAATTTCATGATCACTTATAGTTAACGGGTTGTGGTTAGATCCTCAACAGTGTAATTTGGGAATATATAGTAAATCAGTTTGTAATGGAGCAAATTGATTTTACTGAGTTTTTATATCATAGTCGTACATTATAAATTTTCCAATTACTATTATTTTTGGTGAAATATTTTTTCAGTGTTTTTTTTGAAATATTTTTTTTTCAAGATCATTTTTTAGTTTTATTGAAAAAGCCAATGTTATCGAAAGCACACAACAGTCTTTGTTGCGTGGAAATGTAATTTTAACATTACGGTTGACACTGAGTAACTTGGCTGGAGATTTCCGGTCGAGTCAGGCAAAATTTTTAAAGCAAATTGAAGCACGTAAAGAAACTGTCAATTCATACCTTCTGGCGTCCACTGATTGGGTGAATACCGAGGTTCTTGATGATGTGCCAATCGATGCATCACGAGATGGTACTTTGTTCTTTAGTAATTAACTGTAAAGAAATTGTCAATTCATACCTTCTGGCGTCCACCGATTGGGTACTCAATATTAGATGCGATTTTTCTCTACATTAGTTATGATTTATTTTTTAGTAGTTAACTGTAGCAACATTACATACGATTTTTCTCTACATTAACTGTTAGATATAAGGTAATAGTCCTTTGTTCTAGCTTATTAAACCTCCTGTAAACTGACTATCAGAGTTTCCTAACTAAGTTGACCCTTTTTAGTAAAGTAATGCTGACTGGTAGTGGCGCTTTTTTGATTTTTATTATCTAGATTACATTAATGAATTGAAGCGACATTAAATTAATGAATTTTCTTGTGAAAAATGATGTGACTTCCTTTTCGTATGCAGAACTTTTTTCGTATACCTCTTTCGTATACCTCAGATACAGAACTTCTGTAATTAAGTTACATATCTTATTACATATTTTGTTGTAATTCTCGTCCTGGTCAAAGCTTGGACAATGATGCCGTTTGCTTCCTTATATTGTATAAGAAACTTGAGAATTTTGTAATAAACTAGGAATTCTAGGCCTTACCATGGAACAGATACAATTGTTATTGCAAAATGCTGATATGGTAAAGGAACGTGAACGTGACGTGATGAGTGTCAGTAAATCGATTGTGGAGTTAAATTCTTTATTCAAGGATCTTGCTTCTATGGTCGTTGATCAGGTACTTGGAATAAGCTAAAATGTTGAATGATTTTTGTAATGAAAACTATTTTATGGTTTATGAAATACATATAATTAGTAACCCAATTTCTATTATTATTATTTTTGCGGTGTAATTAGAACAAAC